AAGCCATGTGCAAAGCAAGTCTTACAAGGTTTCATTTTAATGTTTAGTTGCCTGCAGGACAAAGTGTTAATTCAAACCTACCTAGAACATTTAAAAAAGAGAAAGCTGTTTTTGTTTAAAAAAATCTTGGTTTACCACTAACGCGACACATTTCACTCCATACTTAAAAAGGGCTATTTCTCTGTTTGAGTGTATTATCACTTCACAAGTCACCAACGCTAATTGTCAGATTTTCTCTATAAACATATTTCTTACAGCAATTACAGAAAGAAAGAGAAATAGATCACTTCTGGAAGAACACATTAAAATCATCAAAGCTCTATCTGCATGTTGTATAGTTTCTAGCTTTTAGCAAAAGATACTTCCTTAACAGTAAGGAAAGAGTGAGAAACACTGGCTTCTTTTCTAATAGTTTCTTTGCAGGAATACTGTAGCAGATTTGGACCTAAATTAGATTAGGCTTAGATGCTGGAGTCAGAAAGACAAGCGAAACTAAACAGCTCAGTAGTTTGGTACGATGGGGCTTGCAAAATCTCGCATTTGTCATCAGGAAACAGGGTTTGTCTGGAGATGACAAAGTTACTAGCGTAACAACGGAGTGCCCAAAATATTCACAACAGTACAAGCCATACTGGTATTTGTGAACAAAAGTAAACTTTGGTTTCATGGGAAGGATATAGAGCTCACAAGCACAGATTGCTACTTATTTGGTTATTAGTCTCTTCCACAGCTGTATCAAGATTCAGTGGCTGCACTGCAKAGGAAAACATGAAATACTCTGAGCTGGCATTAGTAAGAAACAGAATCCCTGCAACTCTTAGTTCTAAACTAACTTTCCATTCCCAGAGTCAATTAAAGTAAGCCTTGAATGAATCAACATAGGATGAGTTAAGAAGCAGCAAGGCATGCATGCAGAGACCTGCATTTTCAAGGAGCAAGAACTGGCAGATTCAGGCACAAAGATGCTTTTACTACAAGACCTGCTCATGCCACGATTTATTTGTACCAGAGCAAAAAAGTAAGCCAAATGCTTGCGGAGTACATGAAGTCTGAGTTCTCACGGAGTCTTATAACCCCAAAACACTAGAACTTCCTGTTCATTTACTCCAAATAAGACAGTACAACCACACTACTACAGGGTCAACCATTTTACAGTTTGTTACTTCAACACCAAAATCTATCTGCATATTCTATAAATATTCTCCAGAGACAACAAGTACATAAAAAGCCATCCATGTCTTTTCCAGCTCCACAGAGTGCAAGCAAACCAGACAAGACCTTGTACTTGCGCCTTGCACTTACACTGCTTTTCTTTGGAAGCCAATGCCCTAAAATATTCACAATACTTTTCTATCTCCTCTATAATCTGAGTAAGATGATAAACTCATTAACCTTCATATATAGTAGTATTTAAGCCTACCTATTTAGTAGCAGTATTTAAGCTCTGCTAGCCTAGAGTGGTTTGCAAAAAAAGCAATATTAAAGAATTATTAGTTCAAATAGCCTCAAAAGTTAACAAAGAACCTGAGAACAGTTTTAATACTCCTTTTGCAGGCTCAAACCAAACAGTAATTATAAGCCATTTTTCCAGAGCACATTCAGCAACATAGTTCTGTTTCAAATATACTCACTTGCAGATACATTTGAAAATCTAAACTATACCCATTTTTTATTTCCTACTTACTGTAAAAAGTAGAGAGTGCATACATCATGAGCGTGCATATTTTTGTATAATTTKGCTATCTTCACCAGGAAGACTCCCAATGACTGTCATTATAGAAATTTCTCTGAAAACMATCAGGTTCAACTCTGCCTCCCATCAGTGTTGCCTTAGATGCCAGGATGGTAGATTAGCAAATATTTCAGAAGACACTTTCATGTTCTAAGCACATTAAGCATAGTAGTATCATTAGTTAAATTAGTATTCTTAAGACCTACATATACAGTTTATATAAACACAAGAAGCAACTCCACCTGTATTTGAGGGTTGTGTTTTTAAGATACTATCTCATTCTATCATCAAGTATAAGCAGCTGAAAACCAGAACACCTCCAAATTTCTGAAAGACTTCTGCACACTGAATTACTATTAAAATCTGATTCTAAATTCACTGTGAGTAAAGAAGAATTCAATGACCCTTTGCTATTCTGAGCAAGAATCCTTCCATTTATCTGGCCTCTCCCTCTACCAACAGCAAGCCTAAACTGCACTTTTCTTAGCTTTGGGCTATTGCTTTTTTGTTGTGATATTTCCAGAGTAAATGCTTTTCATTCCTATCGATACCTCTAAAGATATTATGCATACGCATATCACTCACCTASCCTCAAGCACTTGTTTTCTTGACTTTACACCTTCAATGCAGCATCACATTGCAAAGTTCACATTTAATAAGCGGCCCATTTTTCTTTAAGCTGCTGCTTTGCAGTAGGGAACTTAAATTTGATTGGGTAGTTATTTTCACAATCTTTTATACTTGGAGTAGGTCTCATTTTATTTGTTATCGTCTAAATTTATTTCTCTACCATACAAGCACAGGTCAAAGCTACTCTGGCTTTTTCATGTTTCAGGCCTCTGAAGAAACTTTACATGGTCTCAGGGTTCTTGTGGCAATACACCTATAGGAAAACACAGGAGGTTATCACGTGTTTTTAAAAAATGAAACTACCCTTTTTGACTGGCTGTAGCTGAGAACCAAAATAGTCATGTCTTGTCCGCTGGATTTTTAGTGGAACTGACACATGTTGACATATCCAAATACTTAAGAGTAAGTTTTCATTTTGAGATGTTTTTGTCTCTTTCCTGTGATTATTTATGCTTAAAAAAAAAAACTAAAATTTTAAGATTTTCTTTTACAACTGTACTCTTATCATAGACAAACACAGCTTCCCCTTATCCAAAAACAAAAAGTTTGGGCACTTTTAACCCTTCAAAGCCACACAGCACCCAGACAAAAATCCTTGTAGGCACCCCTCGAATTAGCTCTGCTTCCTGCAGGATCCCTAACCCCTTCCCTGTTGCACAGATACAGCAGTTCTGTATCCCGAGCCCATAGATTTAACCAAGAAACAAGAGGAAGTGACTCAGTTGTTAATGTCTGTCATGCTGCACTCAGAATACTGCTGTGAATTTGGACATTTACTAGTTACCTTTTAAATAACTGGACAGTGGAAACCTGTGGTATATTTAATCTGGGGGAAGGCTTTTTTCCAGCAATGCAAGACTGCACTGATAACATACGTTATTGCACTTAGACCATTTTCATGCAAAGACTTTATTTGTAGGAAAACTACAACATTAATGTTACATGTGAGACATCCAAAGATCAGCTTAAGATAAAGTACATTGATCTTTTAGATATATGTAATATAGCAACTGTCAACACCTGACAGGATGCAGTAAGCAAGTGAATTACTTGATGCACATACTTACAAACCAAACAACCTTAAAAAGCATCCAAACCCACCCATCATGCTTGTCAGTTCTTCGATGCAAATCAAAAAATAAGCCAAATCCCTCCAGTCCTTTTTGAGTTAAATTTTAGCCCTCAACAGAACCTCACTCTGTGCTACAGTAAAGAGCAACCAAATGCCACTGAATGGTAACCCCACACTGAAAATATGCCACAGTGCCTTATTCTTCATTAAGCTTCGGGCTCCTTATATATTTCATTTCTGTAATGAAGCTGTGTCAAAGAAATACATTGCAGAGSGTATTACTCAAAATCATTTCCTGAGCACTGAGCCTGCAACGTAGCAATCGTCAAGAAGAGTTTGSTAAAAAGCCCCGTGTCATGTATGCACATGACTTTTATCCGACACCGACTTAGCAAGTGCTGGACGACTGCAGGAAGTGATATACTCAAAAATGGACCTTCTGAAAAGCAGGCTCCTCATCTCATGCTCATTCTCCATCGCCAAATGACAAWGAACTGGAGACTGGAGATGTTCATYGTACAAGGCCCTGCCTTTAAAGCTTGCACACCACGATTCTGAAACTGAAGTTTCATTACTCCATTTCGATAAAATACTACTATTTTAACTCCTCAAATGCCCCTTGCCAAAGAAATTCAAGAGTGAAAGGGAAGCAAAGCCCARCTCCTACCTTACAAAATATGAACTTCAAACTCATCAGAACATTCAATATACCCACCTAAGCATTCAAATGGCTTTTACAATAGCACTACCCAATCTCACTCATCAGCCTCACCACTCGTGTTCTTCATCTTCTCTTAATCTTGGACAAATGGTTGCATAAAGAATTTTTAAAGACAAAAGCCCTAATGTCTGTTGCTTGCATTCCCGTAGTTGTATTTAATTTAAAAACATTTTTACAAGCATTAATGTTTGCCGCAGCTTTTTTCTTTTAACCTGTCACTAAAAGGCTTAAGAGGACAAACAAAATAATTTGAGATATAACAAAATATTTTTTAAAAATAACTGCATTATTATAACGCATGAAAGTGAGGTATGTACAGTGCTGCCCAGCGCTGATTTTCAGAAAATAAGTAAATAAATAAAATGAAAGAAAAAACAAATCCTGGAAAGATCCTTATCAGAAAATAAGTAAATAAATAAAACTAAATGAAAGAAAAAACAAATCCTGGAAAGCAAGGCACAGGCTGCAGGCGGATTCACTCGTGTGGGTTGGAAGGGTTTGGGGAGGGTCCCGAGCACCGCGGGCCGCGCACGGAGGGGAGCCAGGGGCGGCCAAGCGAGGAGCGGGTGCCCGAGGGGCCGCTCCCCGGGGAGCCGCCGGTGCCGCGGCGGGGCTCGGGCCGAGGCGGCCGGGCAGCGCCGCGAAGGAGGCGCCGCGGGGCTCCGCGGCGCGGGAGGAGTGAGCCCCGGGAGGCGGCGGATGGGAGCAGCCGGGCGAGCCCCGCGCGGCGACGGCGGCGGGGGCAGCAGCGGCGCGGGGGGCGCGTGGAGGCGGCGGATAAACGGCGAGGGGAGCGCGGAGCCCCCCGGGCCGCGCGCGGCGCCGCGCCCGGCCGCTGCCCTCACCTGGTAGATGGCGGCCCAGCTGGCGGCCTGGTCGAGCCGCTGGAACTCGCGCTCGATCTCCATGGTGGCGGCGCCGCGCCTCGCCCCGGCCCCCGCCCGCCGCTCCTCGGCAGCTCCGGCTCCCGCGGCTGCGGCGCCCGCCCGCTCCGCCTGTCCCCTCCCCGCGCCCGCCGGAACTACGCAGCCCGCGCGGCCACGCGACGTCCGGGGCGGCCGCGGCGCCGGCGGGGGGCGCGCGGCGCCAACGGTCACTAACGGTCGCTCTGTGGTGAGGGGCGAGGCGGCCGCTCCCCCCGCCCCGCCCGGGCGGCCGCGGCTCTCCCGGACCCCAGGGTTAGGCAGAGCCCTTAGCTGCATCTCCTGCCCCCAGGCTGGCGTCCTCCCGCTCCCGAGCTCGGGGAGGTGCCTGGGTCGTGTTTTCAAGCTCCTCTGCTGCTTCAGGAGGGACGAGAAATAAATAACGATGATAATAATAATAATAATAATAATAATAATAATAATCCTGCAGCAGCCTGATTGCGAGGAAGGAGCTGCAAGGGAAACCCCAGATCGTGCAGCGGGTTGTGCCAAGCTGGCCTGGCGGCGCAGGAACGCGTCTGTGTGCGCAGGGGTCCCCTCGGGCAGGGGACAACACAGTGTTTCACACTGCCGTCAGAAGATGCAGGATCTATTTTTCAGTCTCAGGCGGTGTGTGTGGAGTGGGACACRTCGGTCAGTTGTCCCGAGCACTTCCCTCTGAAGGAAGAGGTGACGTGGGAATCGCAGGGAGATGTTGGAGCTCAGCTTGGTCCTCAGTGCCTCGGTTCCTGTGCCCATGGACACCCGCCTCCCTCCCAGCAGCTGCAGTCCTGCCTTCAGGATCACTGCAGAGGAAACTCTGATATCAGAGAGACAACCTGTTTCTTCACAAGTTTTAAGAAAACCTGTTCCAAACATGGAGCTAGTTATCCCACATATTATGCCAGAGCACATGATGTCTCCAAAGCCAGAAATTTCTCTCATGTCCATGGCAGATTTTAACTGGACATGGCATGTCCAGCTTGTCTTATGTCCAAAGGTAGATAACTTTTATGCTTATATCACCTGAATGGGCATAATAAAAATGCTACAAATTCTTCAGCCAAAGGCTCCTTGACAATATACTTTGCTAAATGTGTGCTGTGGTCATAGAATTGTCTTGAATAACAAAATTCATATATTGCTCTGAGCAAATTGATGTTCAGCTACAGATATCACAGAGTAAGCCAGAAAAATTGCCAGTATCTCACATTTCTGCACAAATGTGTGAGATTTCTACACAAATGTTCATCATAGTGTGATGTGTGATCAGTAACTCTAAAAGCTGTTGGTTTTATTCAAAGAATATCTTTTTCTGTAATAATTGGATTTTTTTKGGGGGGTAAATTGCATTATAAATATTGACTATTATGTGCAGAAAGGTATATAAAAGAAGTAAGTAAMAATTTGCAGTAATGGTACACATTTGGATTTATTTCACAACAATGTGGATAATTGCATAAACTACTGAATTCTTCTGGGGTCATATTTTACATACAGATACAACAACAGTACATACAGTGACATGCACAGGTAAAAAGCTGGTACACTGAAGAAGATGCAATTGGACACTACAGTTAGTTATTTATATTAAATAATAAACTACAGATCTTTGATGGCCTGTAAAGGGCATATGGGGAGCCATAGGGAAACACCAGATGATTTTTATGAATAGCAAATTCTGCAATTCCACCTGTAGAGTGGGAGCAATCGCTTGACCTCATCCTATTTTCCCCTAACAGTTGTAGGCACTTTTAGCAATTTTTCTATATCCCCTGATATGGGCTAGGGTGTAGCTACCCACAAAATAATATGAAGCAGCCTGACCCCAAGTTTAAAAAATAACATTAGCAGAACAATGAAACTACTAAGAAATATTTTAGTTCAGGGAGAGGGTTAGACTTCTAAATCAGGGCTCCAGACAATAACATGTTCATAGATCAGAATCACCTSCTATGCAGAGATTCTCTAGCCAGATTACTCTTTCCATAGAAAAAGAGAAATAATCATAATGAATATAGGTTGAGGAAATTACTATAGCCCAAGTCTTAGCTCAGCAGGAAGGAGAGTGAGATTCTAGTCCTCTTGATGCTGAATGTTTAGTCTGAGCCAAACAGTTCAGCTTTAGTAGGGAGGCTGACAGGTCTCCAGCCCAGACTCTGCAAGCTCGTAGTTAGAGCACAGGTGAGATGGGAAAGACTCATTTTGTCAGCCAGGCAGGAATTAAACCCAGGTGTGCCTCATTGCAGGATATAAGAGAGCTAACAAAGGATGTGTTAGTTAAAAGATGATCTCTATGTATGGCTTCTTTCTAGGTGGTGGTGTTCTACTCTGAGGACATCTTCAGGAGCAGACCTCTTAAGGAAGGTAAGTTTGGAAAACCTTTCTGTGAGTCCTGGGCTTAGACTTTAGCCCCCCCTAAAAAAAAAAAAAAAAAAAAAAAAACACCCTATTCTGTGGGAATGGGAATAGCTTTGTGCATGCTAACAGTTTAGGAAAGAATTTTAGAGTGAGTATTTTAGACTGGCTAAGAAACTTTGTAATCTAACTCAAGTTGTGTGCTATCTTAGGCACTGTAAAGGCACCCCATGAGATAAATCACTAAGGCTTTTAAACAATGTATTTATCAGAAAAGATGTTATGAAATGACCTGACATTTGTGACTCAGAGAGTGGTAATATCAGGATGTAGAACTGTAGTCTGACTTGTAACCTTGTGTCCCCTGTGTCTTACCAAATCAAAGAATTTTTTTTTCCCTTATATCTGGCTTTCCTGATACCTGTCTCTGTCTTGTGCCAAGATAAAAGAACGGAGTGTGGGAAAAGGATACTGAAATTATGTGATGAGATTAGTAACACCTTGAGGAGAAATAAAGCTGAACTAATTTGTARTTTTCATTTGTAATTTTCAAAAAGAGCTCAGAAATGTTGGTGTAGCTTACTAGTAATGGATTCTTAGAAAATTCTGTAGCTTCTGTAGACCAAGGAGGGTAAAGATATATTTTTTTTTTTCTGGAATTTTTGCTGGTAATGTTTTCTTGCAGTCTCCGACTGAAAAAATAATGGAGGGTCCTAAACTACCTGTCTCAATGAACACTGACAGTTTTAATAATGTGTAAGTCATTTGGGAACTAGCTAGAACTTTGTTCTTCCTGAAACATCAGGAAGCAGGATGAATTTCSATCTCTACAGTGACTACCTGCTTCTGTGTTTAGAAGCAAGGATGCTTGAAATAATTATTTCCTGTTTTTTAACAGTTCTTTCTGATTAAGGGATAAGAATGTGAGAATAATCTTAAATCCCGTAATAGAAATCTAACACCTTAATATAAAATGTGTTAAGGCATTTATGTATCCACCCTGGGTTTGCAGTGCTCTATGAAAATGATTCCTGATCTTGGTGTTTTGCTGTAGAGAAAGAGAAGCTAAAATATTAAACACAGGTGTGTTAAATTAAAGAGGGGAGAGAGAGGGGCTTGTTAATCATGTTGAATCTTTTTGGGAGAATACATGGCAACTTTTAATTTAGGGCAGGTCCCTCATGGAGTGCTTGAAGCAGCAGTGAAGCTTCTTGTGAGCCCTGGTGTGCGGAGATGTTGAGTTCCTTAACCTTGTCCTCTAAGGAAAACAGAAGATAACAAAAGGTTGGACTTGGTGCTAGAGAAACTGAGGGCTGTGGAATTACAACAAGTGTTAGACAGTTAAATGTCAGGTTGTCAATGTGCACCAGAAAACTGCAGCTATTTATATTGCAAATATTGAAAATCCTTGCTCAAAAGCAGGCAGAATGCTTAGGGACTGACATGATGGCAAATGGCCATGAGCCCTGAACACTGCAGAATTACTGCAGCTTGGCTGCAGTGGAGCGTCTTGGGTGAAGGATGCAGTGCAGCAGGAAACAAGGCCCTTAGTGGGAGGAAGGGAGCGTGGCTGCATAGGAGCTTGTCCTGCGTGCTGCTCTGTGCAGGTAGAGGCAGCGTATTTGGGAATGACTGGGGAAGGAGGTCAGTGTGCAAGAGACCTAGTGGTTTGCTTGGGCCTTTGTGGGTGTGGTCTAATGGGGAGTATAAGCAGAATGGGGGCAGTTTTACATCACAGGGCCAAATCAATGTAGGAAATAAACTATATTGGGAACCAAAGAAGCTGCAGACTGGAAAATGAGGGTAGAAAACAAATGGAGAGGAGAAAAAAATTCAAATGTCAATCTAAACCAGATGGATGAATTTTGTAAAGAATATGATTAAAGTGATGTTGCAATTGAGTATTAATATTTTGGATGGTGCCATCTACTGGTTAACATGCTGTATGTGCTCAGACATCTGTTCTCACAACAGAAGGAGGTCRTGGTTATATCTAATATGCTGTTCCTTTGTGGTAAATCTATCATCTAGGGTATCTGTGCATTTGTAAGCATGGATCATAGAATTGAATCTTGAGGAGTCTGGGGGATATTTTTAGAATATCATAACGTGAATCCTACAGTGCCATAAAGTTCTGTAGTCACCTACTATAACCTAATCTGTTGCATGATTTTTATGACTTCTGAAATCTTAGCAGTTTTACCTGGTGCTAAAGATAATYTCTAATAAAGAGGCTGCTCAGAGGTAAAAAGGACTTGCATTAAAAAGTATGCACACTTGGAAGTAACCACTTGGTGTCACTATTTTTCAGTGGTTACTACTTTATAATGCTATAGAAATATTGACTCAGTTGACATCTCCTGTGGGAACACTCTCGTAGGCTGTTGGGTCGGAGTGGAGTTAATCATGTAATGAAATCAATGGCTTCAATTTTTCAATGAGCTATTTTTAGTATTGATTCTGTAATRGTTCATTTTGAAGGCTTTTCCAGGAACTTCTGAACCTTCTCTTTCTTGATAGGAGCTAGTTCAGTTTTAAAAAATATTCTTAACATATTATCTTGTGATGGTAGAGATGAAATAAAATAGGTAGTAGGAATGAATGGCATGGAGATTTCATGAGTCTGTTTTAATGATATTTCTGGTTCTGGCCTGCAGAGTAAAGAGGGTTCTCTCTGCTCTAGGCACTTGTAACTTCAATTGAAGTCAAAGGGTGTAATGCCTGTTTATCCCCAAACAGAATTTGACTCCACAGGCTTCATATTTTTGGGTGCATATCTCAAAAATAAATATGACTTAAATATGATTTTGCTCTGGAATATGGGCCAAAAAAGACTATTGTGACTAAAGACCTGTGCCCTATAATGTATGCAACCATTTAATAAATATTTAGTCTGCAAGTTGCATTTCCCCCATGTCCCAGAATAACAAAACATTTCCTAACAGCCTATATGAAATTTAAGATCTAACTTACAAAACACTAAATGTTGCAAAATCCTTKAAGTGTTGCAGGAAAATGGCAGAAGAGATTAAAGACATTAGTGGTGGCAGATGCTTACAATATAGATTTTGTTAATTCAACATGTTTTATTATCTCGGGATACAATTTTTGTGCATTGGGGGAGAGGTTTTTCCCCCTCCCCATACAAAACAACCTGTATAACCTGAGGCACATTCCTTTCTGATTCTATTTTTTTTCTGATTAAGGATTTTAATTGGTAGATTGTCCATTAGAATTTGGCACTGGCAAAGAAAATCAGAAGCCAAAAGAAAGGGTTGTATCCCATTGCTTAATTCACCTACATAAAAATGAAGGTGCTTGTCCGGACTCCAACTTGCATTTCATAGCCTCTCTTCTTTTTTTGTGTGGCTCAAAGCAGTTAGATTAGGAAAGATTATGAATATGCAAGTTCTGTTATATGGTGAAGTAATATTTGACTGGCTAAAACAGCCTATTTTGACTTCTGGTCTCTTCAAGACTAGTAGGTAGGCTGGTTGTCAGGCCTATTCTTTAGGYTTTGAAATAATAATTCTGGGACTTTAATCTTCCTAATACAACCAGGATACCAGCAGCTCTTCTTGTTGCACCTGTTAAGAGGTTTTTGAAGGGAGTATGAGCTAAACTGATCTTGAGAAATGACCTGCCAATTCTGTGTGAAGAAGAGGCAAAATTTATTTTCTATAATACCTACTGTCTATAGCTTTTGAGATTTTAGTCAGCAGTGATTGTGATGAACTGCATATATGGAGGGAGGGCATCATACAAGTGCATACACACACACATTTTGCTGCCTTTTCAGCCTATGTGTGGCTCTTTTTTCTTTTCTCCACAGTTCATTTAAGGTTAATATGCTGTGATAGAAACAAGCAGAAGTAGAAATTTGTTGGAAAGCGATAGCTGCAAAAGATTGTCTTACCATTGGATGGCACTATACTCCTTGGAGCTCATAACTGTCCTAAATTTTATTCCTCATAAGAATTTTAGATCAAGCAGGGAAATAATCACTGAAAAGTTTTTTTCTGCTTTTTTGAACAGTTAAGGTGGTGGTATTAAAAAAAAAAAAAATTACCTTTTCAGAGCTGACTAATTTTGCAGCACTAGGTTTTAGACAGTTCGTATTCAATTTTTTGCCTGGTTGCTTAGATTTCAAGATTAAGATGGAGTTGACTTTCTTTTTTGGAGGAGACTTGGACACTGTGTATCCTTTGCTGCCACATAAGTTATGGTTATGTTTTGTGATTATAGGATAGGTTTATGCTAGGACTTTTGCTTTATATGCTTTAGGTGAATATTTTATATTAAGAAAATGTATCTGGCAACTCTCTCTCTGTTAAATTATGCCTCTTTTCCTTACAGCAAATATGGCAAATCTGAGTGTGGAACCCTTGTCACCTGACTATCTTTCCCATTCAGGATGGGTGAGTCTGGCCCTATTGTGGGCCTCTAATTTTGTATGTGTAGATATGTCTAACTTCAACCTGAAAATAAAATGATCAAGGGGATGTCAATGGTTCAGAGTTGTGGCTGCTATTTGGGCATATGCATGGAATTCAGTATGTCCATTTTAACTAGTATTTTGAAATGGAGGTCGTTATTTTATATATAGGTGGAGGTGATTGTTTTATATATTCCTCTCAATGTTGTATGTGTATCTACAAAATGACCAACCCTTTCTGGAGGCCTATCCTCCTGTTTTTGTATGTGTGAGTTCTTCTATCATTCTGAATGAATTTTCCATAGAAGAGAAGAATCTCAGGTGAGCTGCAAAAAGAGCTCAGTATAACTGCCGTAGCAACTAACAGCACATCTGGGTTGGCAGGACTTATGACTTACACATTGTATTTCCCCAGCACTGTATAAACAAGAAACCTTCACCTGAAATACTTTTTCCAACTTGGATGTACTGAAAATTCCATTGGCCTGACTTGATAAGCAGACAAGACAGATAGTTCTTTAGAGGGAAAACCTTAGCATGTGGTTGGCCKTGTTCTCTTACCTGCCAGGAGAAAAGGGACCTATGAAACTTTCTTCTGACACATTATCTGAATCTTATCTGCTCAAACACTTCAGAGTTCAGGCAGAACAGCCAAAGTCAATTTTTGTTCAGAGTGTTTAAAAATCAAAGATAAATAGAAGGGAGAAGTTGTGCGGGGAGGTGCTGGGGTGGAGAAGGGACTGGATGGTGGGATTGGGGAGGGAGTGTTTTAACCTACATTGACGCCTCTGAGATCTTTGTGGAAGTATCTGCTCTCCTCTGATGACAATGAAATTGCACAATACCTAATTGCTGGGGGAGGGAGTGAGGGGAAGGGATGGCTTGTGTCCAGGGGCCACCTTCTCTCTGACATCACCAGGTTGATGATTCAATGGTTGGTATAAATTAGAGAATAGGTTTGCCATGGCTGTTGCTGCTAGTCTGACTTTTCTGAAGATCTGAAAGGATCTTCAGAAATGTGTTAAATGAGAATGGAGTCTTTGGAGCTTTGTCTACTAATATTTAAAAATATTTTAAAAATAAATATTGGCTTGTTGATGGTTCAGTACTCCCAAATACCTGGAAATCTGTGGACCCTCACAGTGTACACTGYTATGCTAGTCCAGACGCAACAATTCTTAGTATTCTAGTAATACTTTGTGAACATTGCTGGCCTTTGAGCTGAAAGTAGGCACCTTGATGTTACTTGCACCAGAGCTGTCTGGTAACTGGGAGACTAGTTATTTCCCCTGCCCTTTCCTGAATCAGGTAATCTCAGCCCAGCTCTTGAGCCAATTTGGCACTATATTTAAACGGAATAGTAGTATATCATCTGTAAAAGCTCTCCTTCRGTTTACTGACACCTTGTTTATTGAGTGTTATGGCTTATGAAAGCTCCAAGGGCTAGTGTTGATGGAATGGCTTTTGCCTTTTACTGACCAATCCCTGCTGTGTTTTGGAGTTTCTGTGTCCCAAAGGAAGCTCCAAGAATGATTGTGCCTGGAGATGTAGTTGCTTCCAATTCTTTAATRGACATGCAGAATATAAATTATTTGGCACCATCTTTTATGATGCAGCCCTATCCCTTTTGTTWTATATAATCTGCTCCTTGATTAAGGAGGAGAGATTTGGGCTGGGGAGGGGGAAAACAAGGTGTGGTTATTTGCTTTATGCTTCTTTCCATGTGGTGTGAATTGTGTAGAATGGTATACAGAAATACATTTGTTTGAACTGAATTTCAATAAATTGAGCAGATATTGCTGAATTATGATGGTATCTTGCCTACATTCTCTTGCTTTAAAACTTGTAGCTTGTGAATTTTTCAGTGTATTGTATACATGCTGACTAGYCAAGGTTGGCCTCATCTTATGAAAGAGCAGAGTAGTGTTAAAGTRTGTTTGGAAGAGATCTTGAGAGGTAAAAATATGGATCAGCTATGGTGGTACAATTTCTGACATGTCTGCATTCCCAAGCTGTGTATTACAGAATACAGGGGGAATATTCCCAAGCATTGTATTCTGGTGCTGAGATAGTACATCCTAATGTCTAACCTAAATCTTCCAGTTCTGCTTGCAGTATTTATGTTAATGATGCCTTCAAATGAGGTGGTTCTAGGGCTAAGGAGAGTGTAGGGAGCAGCCTGTATGTTTTCAGGAACTATATTTTTACATATGACAGTAATAGCAAGTGATATTCCAATATTGTCGCATTTTACATCTTAAACATTTGGCAGCAAACAACTTAGGCATCCAAATATGTATGTGAATTGTCCACAGGACTTGTTTTTAAGCATGTAGGAAGCTGAACATGCTGAYTTTCCTGCTCGAGTATGGAGAACAGTAAGTACCTGCAGTAGATAAGAGATGTGGGTGCTGTTGTGGAAGCTGCATGTGTAGTCAGAATAATGAAGTAGCTCTGTGTTTTGAGCTCTGTATTTGTGTGTCCACCTCTTAAAACTTGGCTATTTTTCTCTGTCTGTGGCACTAGCCAGTGAGCATACTGCAGATGAATTAYTTGAGTGCTCTTGCTAAAGGATTAAATCAGAAGCTCTCCTTTATCAAAGAAGGAAACTAGTCTAGTAGGACAGTTTTGTAACTTTTAAAAAAAGGAGGAAATTTAACCAATCCAATTATTCGGGGTACTATGAAAAATACTGTCTGTGAAAACATAAAAGCACTTACAAAATGTCAACATTTCAGCCCTATCTGCACATAGATCAATACGAATAGGTCACAGTAACCTCTTTAAGAGGAGGTCTGCATGACAACCAAAACTAATTATCTAAGGTTCTAGAAAGAAAAACAAACCACCTTTATCCATGGGGTGACTGCTCTCAGCAGAATGATTTATATCAAATAAGTTTACATGATCTTGTGTTAAAATAGCTTTGTAACCTTGTACTATAGCAGAAGTAAATCTTCCATCTATATGAATGCTATATTTAATCTAGAAATATATATTTCTAGTTACTGTTTCACTTCTGTGTAGACACTTGGATTTTTTTAATGGGCATGCATATAAGAATTTCTTTAATTACATGTGTAATTACCACCACTGTATGCAGTGAGCTGTGCACAGCTAGCTTGGGGTAGTGCTTTTGGGATTCAGTCTCCAGAGTGTTATAAATGCTTGTGTGACTCAGGATAAGAGTAGAGTGTCTTCAAGTCTTGTGAGGCATATAGAAAGTGTAACGAACTAGTAATGTAACTAAAACTTTTGAGATTGTTTGGTCTTGTTGTCTTGGAAAGATTTTTTTGTTAACTAGATACATAAATCAATGCCTAGTTTTATTGAACTATGTATTTAGCACTCCTGTATCCTAATCAGGAGCTAGGAAAAGCCTGGTGTACTTGATGGCTTTAATTTTAGAATGTGCAATGGAATTGTGAAATCAAATAGAAATGCTTGGGAGTTAGCTCCTGTTCTTTTGCATATTAACTGCAAACTTAAATATGAAGAGGTCAAATACAGAGTGCATTGAAAGGCTTGGGTTCATCTGGCTTTAAGATGTTTGCTCCTGAGGATTTTTCACTTGCTACAAGTTTATCTGCAGATCCGAATTCAATGAAGTTATTGTTAGTATAGAATATATGCATACTTAGCAACCTGTTAAGCACATTCCTAAATTAACCAATTCTCATTCTATTTAAAATGAAATCCAGAATGTACCATATAAAATTTACCATCTGTCTTCCTTGAAAGGGTCAAGCACTTAAAATTGCAATCAGATTCTTCTGGGTCTTTATCACAGCCATTGTAAAATGTGTTTTTTCAATTCGGGTGCAATAAAGGCACAAGGAGTTAATGCTACAGTGAAGATGTGACCCCTGACCTAAAATTGTGAAAAATTGTCATCTGTTGGGTTGTGGTCACTGATCATGAGGGCATTTTTGCCTGTGCCTATTCTGCATTAAAATGTTTTGAATGTGTTCTGGAAATAAATTTAAGACAAACTCTGGAGGAGCTTTGTTTGAAATTTAGATACTCCCTTGTTAACCAGAAGTACAGTWGTTTGAAAATCTGAGGTTTCTGGTTTGTGCATTATGGACAAGATTCTTACTACCTGCCATCTGGAAATCTGCAGTATTGTTGCAGAGCTGTAAGTGTCTGTTCTGAGTTGTGTTATATATGCTATATGCTGTTTTGCAAGACACTCCTTAGGTTATTTCCAATTCTTTCTCCAAAGCTTTATCTTCCTTGTCCACAATAAGGGAGACTGATGGTAGAACTGGTCCCCTTGGTAAGGGGGACAGGGATGCAAGCTGTGCAGTTGGGCTTGGGCTGCCTTCTAATGCTTAATATGACAAGCAGTTATTTCTGACATCTGCTCTATGCTGAGTTATCAGGAAACTATGTTTTGGTGGTTATGAATGGCAGGTCATATTTGGCCATGTTGCTGTTTGAAGCTGCTTCTCAGAATTCTTTTCCTTGTTGCATCTCGTTTTCTCCATGCTAATGACTTCAGTAGGGTGATGCTGTTCTTTTTAGCATGAACAATCTATTTTCCTGCAAGGGACTTTTTAAAGAGAACAAGGGACTTCACTTTTGCTACAGCAAAGCACTTTAGAATGCCTTGTTTTATGAGGTGAAAACTCCTACTGCCAGAATGTAGTTTTAAGTGCTAGAAAAGTCAGTGTCTTTGTAMGAAAAATGGGCTTTTTATGATTAAACATACAGACCTCTGAAATACATTCCACTATACCATACTTCAGTGAATCATGAAAATCTTTGCTTCAAGATTATCTCTATTTGAGGTAGTTGTATAGCTAAGATGGTAAAAGGAAATTGAATACTAATTGAAGATTCTTAGCAAAGCATTTCATCTGGAACTTTTGATCTGTTAGAATAGAAATTTCTTATTAGATGTAACATGTTAATCTTTATAGAAAGCTGCGAAGATCCAGGAACAATTTTGGGTCCAAGTAACAGACTGTAAGAGCCCTT